CAAATGAAGCCCAGGAAATTCAAATCCCGGGCTTCATTTGCAAGTGCGGTATGCCTACATTACCCTCCTAGTTCGAACTAGCGGGGTAGTGTAGACATACCCCCAGAAAAAAGTTCTCTATAGTAACTCCTATCTTCCCACCATTGGCCTATTTACCACTGATAGTGAAAGGTCAATTAATTGCCAAGATCATGTTATCTCATCAAACCATCCCCTTCATAATCCCATCTAGCTTAATCTTGAAGCCAGATAGGTCTTTTGCCCCCACTACTTCCCTTGGAAGGCTGTTCCAGAACTTCACTCCTCTGATGGTTAGAAACCTTCGCCTAATTTTGAGTCTAAAGTTCCTAATAGCCAGTTTATATCCATTTGTACTTATGTCCACGTTGGTATTAAGCTTAAATAATTCCTCTCCCTCCCTGGCATTTATCCCTCTAATATATTTAAAGAGTGCAATCATGTCTCCCCTCAGCCTTCTTTTGGTTAATGAAAACAAGCCAAGTTCCTTGATTCTCCTTTCATAAGACAGGTTTTCCATTCCTTAAATCATCCTAGTGGCCCTTCTTTGTACCTGTTCCAGTTTGAATTCATCCTTCTTAAACATGGGAGACTAGAACTGCACACAGTATTCCAAATGAGGTTTCACCAATGCTTTATATAACAACGCTAACACCTCCTTGGCTACGTCTAGACTTGCCACAAATTCCGGAAAAGGGATGCAAATCAGGTAAGTCAGCATAGGGAAATCCGCGGGAGATTTAAATATCCCCCGCGGATTTAAATAAACATGTCCGCCGCTTTTTTTTGAAAGTAGGAATAAGAGATCCTCCGGAAAAGGATTTATTCCGGAGGATCGCGCCAGTCTAGACGCTTTTTTTCCGGCTTTTCTAGACTTGCCACAAATTCCGGAAAAGGGATGCAAATCAGGTAAGTCAGCATAGGGAAATCCGCGGGAGATTTAAATATCCCCCGCGGATTTAAATAAACATGTCCGCCGCTTTTTTTTGAAAGTAGGAATAAGAGATCCTCCGGAAAAGGATTTATTCCGGAGGATCGCGCCAGTCTAGACGCTTTTTTTCCGGCTTTTCCCCAAGCCAGAAAAAAAGCGGCGGACATGTTTATTTAAATCCACAGGGGATATTTAAATCCCCCGCGGATTTCCCTATGCTGACTTACCTGATTTGCATCCCTTTTCCGGAATTT